CCCCAAAACCCCAAAACCCCAAAACCCCAAAACCCCAGTTCAGACAACCTAGTTGAAAATTAGTCTTAGTGCTTAACTAACGAATCAGAAGAGCTTAAAGGAGCTTTAAAGGCGAGGTCTGCTACTAAAAGCTTTAGGAGAGCTTAAGGGTTTGTACGGAAGGGTCAGAGCTGAGAGTTTGAGAAGGAATTCGGCAGGTCTAAGGAGCTTGATGGGAATTGGGGTGGGCGGTGTTGGGTGTTAGGTGAGGATTGATGGTGGGGCTGGGGAATATTGGGGTTAGGGTGAGAGTTAGAGGTGGGCTGGGGTTAGTGTGCTTAATGAGAGGGATAATGAGGGGGAAGATTATTTGAGATGGGATGGTGTGTTGGAAATAATGAAGATGGGTGTGGATTGGTTGGATAAAGGGGGTTTGCTGATTTTTAAGGGATGGAAAGTTTTAGAGAGTTTTAAAGCTAAATTTATTTGATAAACATCTGATAAAAATTGCCGTTTTAATATATGTCATTGATCAGAGAATTTATATCTCAATTATTTACTAATCTTGCTCTCAAACTCTTCCTCCACAACCCTCTTATGACCAAATTAATTTCTCAATTTTTTACCACTTTTCTCATCATTTTAATAATCTCTTTTCTATCAATCCCAAATTAAACACGAATCCAGTATTAAACCCCAATCAAAATCCACACAAAAATACCTCCAAAAAGGCCAAAACCATAAATTTGACACATAATTTACTTATATTTCTCCTTAAACCCTTTAAACGCTCTCCAAATAAATATAAACCTTCTTCTATACTGCTATATTTACTAAAAAATCTCTAATAAGCCACTTTTGTTTAAGCTTCTACTTCTTGAGGCAACTTTTGGGAGAGGAAATCCTCAATTATTTCCTGAGTGAATTAGAGGAGAAAGAGATAGATAATTCAATTAGAAACCTAGTGATTAGCATCTAGAATACCTAGTTCATTTAAAGAGTTCTACAAACTATTTAAAGTGATTCTATGATTAGAACCGAAGAGATCAAACCTTTGATTGCAGCCTTTTATTACATGGATGATAATGAAGCTATGTAAGGCTTAATATCTTTGAGTCAAATTATAGAACCGCTTTCGATGATATTAACTGTTATTTTATTGATTATTCTTGTTTTCTACCTTAGCAGCTCCAGACACTGTCATAAAGAAACCCAAGCTAATATTTTAGAGAACGATGAAAGCTATTTAGCTGCAGAAAACTCTTTTCTGTCTCTCTACTCAAGTATTGTGGAAACTCACAACTGAAAATTTGCCATGAATTGTGATATCTCACCAGAACCAACTTGGGGAATATATGTCTGACAAAAGTTCCGAAGAGGTTGTAAAATAATATCAGATTTAATTTTTATAAACCTCTTGTTAAATAATTTATTAAGGAAGGTTTATGACGTTTTAGAGAAATATTGATAAGCAAAGTTATCTTTTAGTTAAATTTATACTTCAGAATGCAAACTAAAATATTAGAATCAAAGTTATTAGTTGGTGGTATTCAGTTATTTTTATAAAATTAATATATAATTCTTATGTTGAGATTTTGTTTTTTGTAGCCAATTCCGTTCTTACAAAATCTAGAGAAATAATTTTACCACACCTCTTGATTAAATAAGTAAAACAGAAATAAAAGATTCCAGATTAAACATTCAAGGAGATATTGTCGATGATCATTCACCCTCCTAACTCGGCTGAATTTTTATTTTTACTTAACCTGGATGTAATGGGCCAAATCAAGTTTAGAGAAAACTAAATTTAATCATAAATGTTAAGGAAAGTCAATATTCCTCTAACTTAGGCTTTTCTTATATTTGGTAAATTCAGCATAAAATAATGGATTAGTAAATACTAAAGTGTTACTCAAGATTCTTGCTACCCTTCTTATGCTATTAATAGCTCAGGATAGTGTTATGATTAACTGCTACAGTTAAGCGCATTAATATAAAACCTGTGGTGGTCTTTTCAAAATTTTTCTAGAACAACCCATAAGATATATACCACCGACAAGTCTTCTAGAGTCTGCAAAATCTGTGTTGAAGATACCTTCGATAATCTTTTATTGACCAATTTATTGTTGTGATACTTAAACAGCATTAAGAAGAACTTTTTTATGGCTCTGAGCATTTTCCTTCTGTAGACATCCTTTCTAGTAGCCCTTGTTGATTTCAATATTGATTTAGACCAAGCTGGAGACTGATCTATTGCAATATTTACTGAGTTTTCAACCCATTCGTTTTGTTCTGAATTATCTTGAATTAAATCTCAGAAAAAGATGGATAGATTGGATTCATCATAGCTATTACCACTTTTTTTACCATGAAGTTCATTAAGTTGATCTCTCGATTGAAATGTGACCATTTGCCAATTTCTCAGTAGCATATCTCAATGAGAATCATAACCCAAGCGGCTTAGAAATAATTTTTGTCATTCTTCATTCTAGATAAAAATAAATTCCGTACACTTTAAAGAAATTCCAACAACGGTTATCCCTTCAAAAATAATCTTGCAAAAAGAGCAAAATATTGCTAAAATAAGCTGATTCATAATTCAATAAGTCATCTAATCATCCATAAAAATTTGTATTCACAAAAATGAAAATTCCCAAAATCGGAATCATATTCCCTCACAATCCATTCCCTAGCGCACACTCTCAAGTATCTAACCCTACATCAAAACTAATACTCGCTTCTAAAATTTCGACTTTTCTCTACTAAAATCCCAAAAATTCTCAACATTTTCAAAACTTCACACTATTCAGGCCAAATAATTGAACAGCAAAAAGATTTCCGAATTGATCTTAGCCAATCTATAGTTCTGTGAACAACTTTTCCATTTTATGAGGCCACTGGGGAGATATAGTGGGTTTAGTGCAGTTAGTGTTAATTAAAGGGAGATTTAGTGCTTCAATACTTTACGAGTACTCTCCCTGCTCCGTTATGGCAAGTGGAGTAGGCTAAATCTTAAGGTAGATGGTGGCTAGAGCTTCTTTATACTACCAAGGTCTTAGGAAATGTACTCTTTGTAGTCTCTTACCTGATGGGCCCTGTGAGAGTCAGTTTGGGATAGGTCTAAGTTAAAGGTTAGTCCTGAGTGATCCATTTAAGTATATTTATATAAAATAGGACGGTTTGCTTATTTATGTGCTTTGGGGTTTTGGGGTTTTGGGGTTTTGGGG